TTGTGAGGTGTTTGTGCAGTGCAGCCATGTCTCTCTGCGTTTGCGTGTGTGTAGCCGTTGAGTCCTTCTGTAAAAAAAGACCGAGCTTTCGTTCTCCATGCCCCTGGCCCTCAAGTATATCTATAGTATGAGTAGTCGACTAAGAAGTAGTAGTTAGACGTCGTCGCCGTCGTTCTGTGCCTGCCGTCGTCCTGCTCCTCCATCGTCCTCCAGCCGCAGCAGCAGCAACCGCAGGCGGAGGAGGAGAGTCTTCGTCGTTAATGTGTTATCAGCGGTATTGTTAGATTCATCGTGAGTGGTAGTAGCAGTAGTAGTAGTGCCGCACTAGCAGTAGTAGCAGTGCAGTAGCCGTAGCAGTAGCGGTGGCAGTAGCGGTGGCAGACTCAGTAGCGAGGAGCTGTCATAGTAGTGCAACCCGACCCCAGCGACAGGAGTACCACTCACCAAGTCGCTGAAACAGATCCATAGATAGATGGAAAGATACAGTAGATGTGCAGACAGATCTTTACTTGATTTCATGATTTGTCATCCTGTGTATCAACAGAACAAGTGCCACGGCTGCAGGCTTCATGAAGAAACGCCTGGCGATCATGAAGGAATTGTGATGGGAGTCCCAGGGACTACATGCACGGTCAAAGCTGGCAGACTTCATACCCCTGTGGTCAGGACCTAAATCACGCCGCCCACTTCTGTGAGAACTTTTTTCAAGCTTTGTGGTACCACCACGCTCAGGCAGGGCACCGTTGACAAACTAGGAGGGTACTTTTACAGTGATAGGCTGACTCGTACGTGTTTCGTTGATCTCAGTGTTGGAACGGCCTGGCCCTTTTCAGAATGTTGTCTTGAAGAGTGTTGTGGGCAGCTTGTCTCAATCTGTCGGCGGCTTTCTACAGTCGAAACGACTTCGGCCCCTTCAAGTCAACGTTCCGCCAGGCCACCGGTCGGTCGGCATCTGGCTCAGCTTTGCACTGCTTGCACCGGACGTTTGCCCTTCCCATGCCGTCTGCATTGCCTGCATTCCCGCAGTCCCACTTAGGCTGTCGAGACAGACATCCAGAGTGTGCGTCCACTCTTCGCACCCACGACCTGCCCTGAGTTCAGAACGCACGGCTCAATTTTTGTTGCTACTGTTGGAGGCGAGCCAGCGCGATTAAATCATCTTGCAGATCTCTACAGTCACCAGCCCGAACATGCCATTACACCTAGGATGTGTGAAAATTGTATATAACTGACTCGCAGAGGTGTACGGCAATAGATCCGCTTGACGAGCAGCCCCACTCTTTCCCTGCTACGCTTCCTTCCTCTCGCTTTCGTGGCCCTCTTGTCAAGTGTTTCCATGGGCCACATGCCTCGCATGGTTCGGTTGCTTGCAGCTTGGGCATGCTGATTTGTGCAGTCCCGTGTAGTGGTTGCTGCTGAGCAGGCTCTCAACATCCGGTTTGCGCCAGAGTGCACTTAGGAGTGACGCCGCTAGGACCTAGGTACCAGCAATTTGATTCGGCTCGTTGACTTTGTGTGTTCATGCACAGGTGCATGTGCCTGTGTCCAGGCGTGTAACTGCGCATGGGCGTGTGCAAGAGGTGTCTGCGGTTGACTGTATGTATCTAAAGTAAACGTGTGGAAATGCGAGAAGCGATCCATCTTGGTCGATGCCTGTCTATGTCGAGTGTGAGAGTCAAACCTGTTTCGGTGCCGTGCCAAGGATGCAACTGTACGAGGCCATCCAGGATGCCTCTGACAGGCTCGACCGAGCACACGCGGCACTTCTGTGCTTGTCTTGGGTCGACCACCTGGAGTCGTGGCTTGAAGACAGCTTGTGGTTAGAGTTCAGGATGGATGGCTTTGATGGACTGTCACAAATTCCCAAATTCCCAAAAGCCTCGAATGCCTGGGTGGAGTGGCCGGTTTCAGACGACACCGTTAAGTCGAAAAGATTTGGGACAGGCTTCTCTACGACAAGATCGCGGCCAGCTCAGTATTGCCCGAGGCCACGGGGGGGGTCCGCTCGCAGAAAGCTTCAGAGCAGTACTGACAAGAGCTACAAGCCGGAACTGCACTTGGCAGGTGTGGCCGGCCCTCCGCAACAACTCACCCGAGGTTCCTCCTCTCCTTCTAGTACTGCACGGACGGTACCGTCTTCTCCTTTTGCAGAGGTAGCAGCGTTGAGCGCTCGAATTCTGGCTGCCTTTTGTCGTCTTGCTATTGCCCTGAGCAAGGGAGCCCCGAGGCTTCGAAATGGTCTCGAGCAGATGCTTCGAGTGTCCACGCAAGTGGAGACTCGTCTAGACTTTAGACCTTGTCAGCTTCGAGACGGAATGCTGGAATAGGCAAACGAGAGAAGTTGGCATCGTGCGAGAAGTCAGTTTTCGGCCACCCATTTGACGAGTGGCCTACAAACAAAGTCCCGACACGACGGTGGATGCCGATCTGCATACCTACTAACTTAGGGGCCTGCCACTCTGACAGGTTGTCCTGGTTGCCTCGGCCTCGGATGCTGTCTTCGCGAACTGCCGAGTGGTGCTGGGTACAGTAGCATGTGCAGATGCCAAGGGTTATGGGTATCACTAGGCTCTTCGCTTTACGGCCAGATCTCCGAGGTGAATGTTGTTGGGAAGTGGGCCTCTGTTGGTGCCCACAACTTAGCAGACTGTGCCGTGTGCAATCGGATGCAATGCTCCCCCCTTCCTTCGAGCAATAGAGGTCGTCACATTCTGGAGCATCTTGAAGCACCGTACGACGTACCCGCCTCAAGGTCTTCTAGTGGCGGAGGGGGCACAGTGGGATGCAGAGTATGTGGTCCTGGGGCGCACGCCTCTTAGGGCACGCGCCCCCCCCCCCCCATTTTCGTGCATGTGGAGTTGATCTCGAAAGCGGGGTCAGTCCGAAACCGGGGGCCGAGAACATCATCTGCGCAGGGCGACAGACTAAAACTATCTGCGCAATACTGCCGAGCAATTGTGAGCAAGGCCCTTGCGGATCTTCGTATTCGGGGATCAAGCAGGGCATGAACCTCAGGACTTTGCTTTGCATCAGGTCATCTTGTGAACCTCTTGGCTGTGGTTTAAGGATCCGAGACTGGAGCTTCCCTGAGTCTCTTCCTACTACGACTTGCTTGCGAAGTTAGAGGGAGCGTCTGCTAATTTGGGGTGCCAGTTGAAACAGAACAGGCCAAAGGCATCCCAAAATTGCATGCGATAAGGCGACACGTCGTGAAGGAGATGAAATCGGAAGCTCCGCATGCCATGCCGCATGCCTGGGCTGTGCCCGCGAGTCGGTGTAAGACTTCCTGCCTGCTGCATCACAGACTTAGCAGTCAGCAAGCGAGGCATCGTGTGCGCTTCGACTACATCGACATCTTCCTGCACCCGCCTTGAGCCTCGGAATTCCCAGAGTGCGCAGTGGCGGCGTTTGAATCTTCAGATCGATTCGTCAGTATTATTCAGAGCAGTCAGAGCCAGTGCAGTTGTGATCGCAAGGCGAATGGTCAACTACTTCAGCCGGCTGCCGCAGGAATGCGAGTGATGCTGAGCTTGCTGTGTTGGATCTGTCAGCAGAGAGCCAGCACCGCTATCGCAGCATTCTGCAGCTTTCCAGATCGCAATTACTTGTAGCAGCGCCGAGCATATGCAAGCATCCCTGCTGGCAGTCGAGGCCTCAACCAACATGAGCAAAGCCTTGTTCGCCCGCCTGGTCTGCATGAGCCCGAGTGCATTTATGACAGGCTTGGCGAGAGTCTTGGAAGTCGCCTCGACTTGCTGCCTACCAATACGTACGACATGTATACAGGTAGGCAGGTTCTGTGGCATCCAGGTCCAGGAATCAGAGCTCAAAAGCGGTCTACTAGGTCTACAACTGTTGCGCGACTGTTTGCCTTGATCTTCCCGCAGCATGTCTCCAGATGAGTGGTAGTGGGAGCTGCCAGAGGCACCAGGAGCGTTAGGTCCCTCGGCGCCCCGAAGGGCAGCGCTGCCCAAGGCACGGTCGGTTCCGAGGTGTAGTCTGTTTCCCCGTGCCGTGAACGTCTGAATCTATGATGCGAGATTCCCCGAAGCCAGGATGTCCTTCGATCGAAGCCGCAGTCCAGTTTGGTCCTTGATGCGAACACGGGACCCTGGGGTGTCCACACCTGCCGGGAGTTCAAGGTCGCCTCCAGGGCAGCCGGAGCAGCCAATGTGCCTGCCTGATGCTGCTCCGTTCAAGTCTTCGTTACGCTTGATATTCAGTCTTGCCGACGGGTCTTGCCGGAGGTCAAGAAGAAGCGAAAAGAGCTGTTCCAGAAGGACGCCGACCATCGCTCCGCTCACTGCATCGGCAGCAGCAGCGATATCATCATCACCACCGTGCTGACGTGTCGGCTTCCAGTGGCAGTCCTGGCGTTGAAGGAGCTCGGATATCAGGATGAGAGCAATCCGTCGAGAGCTCACGAGAAGTGCAGCATTGCTTGGATGCGCAGAGTCCGTTGCTGGCATCCTAATCAGCACCCGGAGCTTAGGTAAGCACGCAAAGCATCTGCTACTCTGCCTGTGTCAAAGACTTGCCGGGGGCACAAGGTTTGGCGATTCAACGCTGACGGAGAAGTTCACCTGGAAAAAGAAGAATGAGTATCTTCAGGCAGCTGGCCGTGGCCCTAGAAGATCACAGCCGCAACGTGCGGCTGTACATGTTGCGCAGACTGAAGTTTCGCTTGAAGTCGTAGAGCAAGGCTAAATGTTCCCGCTCGATGCGAGGCTTGTACAGGCCCTCAACGAAAGAGCAGCAGATGCAGAAGATGCATGCGAAGATTCGCGAGATTCAGCAGGCAAGGCAAAATCACAGCTGAGCCCGTACTGCTTGTGGCCGGAGTTCTCAATGTTGCCTTAGCCGGACAGTCAGGTGAAGAAGCGCCGCGATGAGCGTGAAGTTGAGAGGCAGCTTTTGGAGCAACAGCGGCTGGAGCACGACAAGGCGTTGTTGTGGCATAATTCCGTGTGATAGTGATGCTGACGACAGTGACAGTGGTAGAGAAAAGGATGGTGGTGTGGATGAGACAAAGTATTCTTGATATTCTTGTCATTCTTGCCGTCGCCGTCACTCTTACGCTGAATGAACGTGTGGAGCACCTCAGATGATCCAACTGCAGAGATTGCCCAGGCATAGGGCAATCTGTACGATTATAGTTGTGACAGTTTCAGATGTGAATGCTGTCCATGGCAAGGCAAGGGTCGGGGTGGGCAAGTAGAAGTGCAGGAAGACAGCCGGAGCACCAGCAACCGATCAAGACAGTTGCTGCAGTGCTACCAAAGCAAGAGGCGTCCACCTTGCCACCTTAATGGACGCTATGAAACTGCTGATCCGAAAAATTCGAGACAGAATCCACTGAATGCACTGGGGCTTTGCGGGAGCGGAGATAGTAAACTGGTAAGAACCGGACTCTGCCATCAATGCCAAGCAGCCGAGCGGTTTCTCAGGAGCTCCACGACGAAGAGTATGGCGAATGGCTGACCAAGGAGGAGAAGTTTCACTTGGACAATGCCAAGGTCGGGTTTCGGGTTCAGGGATCTCAGCTTTGATTTGAGTGGTGTTTGCTCGGATGACCCTGACGCTTTCGGCTTGGAGACCGTTTCACTGCTGTGCTACTTCTGCCAAGCGGACAGGCGCGAACATCGCTGCGAATAGACCAGGGACGCGAAAGGCTGAGCTCGGGGGCTGCTACCTTCCCCAAGTTGCTCCATTGGTTTGGCTTATGAAATGCTGCTCTCTGACAGCTCCATGTGACATGAGAAACTTCAGCTTTCGAAGTTGCGAAGGCCCCTGGACCTCGTGGCAAAGGCACTTTCCATTGCCGAGGATGAGAAGTTCGAGGCTAGGATACAGCCACTGCTCGGGTCGGTTCGATGCGCAGTTGATTCTGCAGCAACTCCCAGCAAAAGCCCTGTCAGCTGGCAGGATATGACAATCCTTGACAAACCTCCACATCAGCTCTTTGTGAACATGAGCGTTGACGAGGCAGTGGTTTTGATACAGTATTTTCCCTGTCTCGATCGTAAGTGTCTTAAACATGGTCACGTTCACATCTTGATGTGAAAATCGCAAAATCGCACGGTGCCTTTCCCAGGCTTAGCAGTTTCCTTCAGCTCGCTGATAGCACCAGAGCTGCCAGGTGGAGGAGACCCTCGATGAAATAGCAACCTTCGTCAGGATCGATTCGCAGCACAAGGAGTTCTGGCAGGCGCGGGGTCAGGGTTATGATGCACGGCTTTTGCCCGGATTCTGGCTCCGAGGCCATGAGATATGTAGCGACTGACGCCTACGAAAGCAAGCGGCGCGAGAAGGCTTGGCGAGAGTTGGGCAAGAGCTTATAAGGAGCGAGGTCGGGACGTGGCAGGGGACAGGTGAGGAGCCAGATTGGTACTCGCAGTGAACTTTGGGCAGCGCATTGGAAATCCCCGAAACGGCCAGGCGGGTCGCTCGAAGGCCGGCTCCGCCATCAGCGGCCTCGGCCCAGGAGTTGCCGAAGGCCGAAGGACCTAATCAGTATCGTTGGTCGCTTCCATGCAGCTGTAGACTTATAATTACCATTTTCCACAGGACTACAGTGCATCTCCGCATAGACGCATCGCAAGAAAGCAGCTCACCCGAAAGTTTGGGATAGTGGGCCCCAGTCCAGGCGTCGTCAACGAGATCCATGATCTCCTTTGTGCAAAATCGAAGCGTGAGTTGGGTGACATGCTAGCGCAGCGCCCAGTGGCGGGTGTCTTGCTTGTGCGATGGCCAGCGCCGGTTGAATCGCTTGCTTGCGCTGCGAGGTGGAGATCAACGACAGTTTGAAGGACCGGGCGAGGGTCCTCGATTCTGGAGAACGCTCTTTGCAGCCTTAGTCTGTGCCATATGGCTGACCGGGTATCGATGCGCATCCTAGTCTATCCACCAGAACATGACTTTAGGTTTACGCCCGCAGCGTCCTGCAGCTAGACGCGGGTTCACCGAAGCTAATAGTCTCCGTGCTTGGTCGCTTTTTTACGGACTGTGGCCAGTCCTCACCGGCCGGCCTGGACACCCAGTTCTTTGAGGCGGTCGCTGCAAAGATTCCGCCTGACTCTCGGGGGCTACTTCAATGCGACGGAGCTAGACGAAACCGGAGAGAGTGCGGCTATGCGCGGCTGTCCCTTTTCACCCCCTGAGGCTCTATGTCGCACGCTCTGAAGTGGAGCATTGGCATGAGAGGCAGGCTGCAGCAATGCAGCATGCGTCAGCGTTTCTATGTTTCTGCATGTCTGATGCCGGGCACGGCAACAGTCCCCCCGAGCCAACCCTTAGTTCCCCAGTCTCCTTGGTGCCTGCCGCGTCTTTGGGCTCGAAAATCGCTTCCAGAACCTGTGTTCAGCGCACGTGGGAGGACTGCACCTGTCTCTGATCACGTTTGCCTAAGATTTGTCTTGAAATTTCCTGAGGAGCCAGGGCCTTTCTTGGCCGTGAGCTCTCCGAGTCTGACTTCACAGTTTTCAGGTCAGAAGCTGGACACAGGGGGCGTGCCAGGCTCGCACGCTAGCGACTTGCGCCATGTCCAACAACGCGTACATGTTCATCGCGACGGAGCCTCTGGGCCCAGTGTGGTCCCAGACAGGCTCTGATGGAAAGTTACAGAATCAGAACGATGCCTGGCAGTCCTGGGCCTCCAACTACGTCTGGATTCCTAGCTACATTGCGTACGGGCTCGTGGACATGGTGCCATGGCAGGACACTGTGGCCATGGCCGATATTACCTTGAAGCCTTGTCAAAGCCAAATGGACCCTTCGAAGGGAAGAGGCATCAAGGGCATGGAGTCCAGCTCGAAGCGCCACGAAGGAAAAAGCTCCCTGGCACCCGATGAGCTGCTTGGCCCAGAACGTGCAGATGAGACTTCCGCAAGCTTGTTCTCTCATCGGTTGCTAGAGACGAGGGCGGTGTCCGTTCGAACCCGAGGCAAGAATTTCATCAAGATATGCTGCGGAAGCTTGCGCTGCATCTTGCAGCGCAGCCAGACGCCGAGGCTGATTCACACGCGACTGTGCAAGAACAGCACATGCTCGAGGACGGGGCTCTTGGCGGCTGTTCGGGGGTTGCAGAGCGGGAGTGGGTCTCTTTTCAAACTTCTTCCAGTCCACAGGAGCCAGAAAAGCTTGAGAGACAGGAAGAGCACTCGCCCGAATGCATTAGCCACTTCTGTGCCTTGTCCGGCGTTGCCCGTGTGTAGTTGTTCTTTGCTTCATGCGGAGTTGCCCACGAGTGGTTCAGGCGAGTGCGCGAATTTCTTCAAGCATGTTGACAAGCAGGACGAGGCACTGTGTGTGTGTGTGTGAGATCCATTCGCCATTCGCATCCTTTGGCGAACAAACACAGCACAGGCCTCGGATGCTCCCGACACGCCACGCAGCTTCTGCGCTACGCCAGAAGAGCATGGCATGCCTGTCTGGAAGGGAAAGCATCAGCCGCCTCAACCGCCTCCACACATGGAGCCTGGGCATTTGTTGGAGGCTGCCATGGAACGACTGTGGAGTTGTTAACAGGTGGACGAACGGTAATCCGGTAATTTATTTGCTGGTCCAAGGAGTACATGGAGGATCTGACTGAAGGCTCTTCGCACTGTGTTTGCGTGCCCTCGTACATCGTGCATGGCTTGCTGGAGACCGTTTCCTTGGGCGAGGGCAAAGGCCGCGAGCGACGCTTAGGTGCTCACGATCAGGAGTTCCATCAGCAGATGCTGAGAAAGCTTGCGCTGCACCTAGCGGCGCAGCCGGGAAGTGATTTGTCGACCGGCTCATATCCGGCGCACGCCCCGCAAAGCCCGGATCTGGAGAAAAGCAGGGCAGGAAGGAGAGGCCAGCATCAACAAGGAAAGGGTTTCTTTCAGCACGACAGCAGACCTCAGCAGGAGGAATTTCACCGACAAATGCTGCAGAAGCTTGCGCTGCATCTCGCAGCACAGCCAGACACGCCCACCCCGAGTCCACACGCCAGCCAACAGGTGGCGCCACTGTCCATGAGCCCTGCTGTGGCTGAGGCCCACACAGCAGTACCAGCACCGGAGGTCAGGAAGGCTCCGAGCTCATTTTCCCAGGGCCATCAGAGCCATCCAGCCCTCCAGCCCGAGTGCAACCAGGAGCTTCTTCGTAAGCTCGCGCTGCATTTGGCGGCGCAGGATCATCCCTTGGACAAGCCCCATCTTGATGTTCAGGGGGATAGCATCAAATGGCAGCCCATGAACGACCCCGCGGCCATTGGCGAGGACTGCCAACAGCCTCGCAAAAGTAGGCCGCGATACTTCTTGTGCAACTTGCCAGCTGGTCAGGACAAAGCCAGCTGCGACAGGCTCATCACCGAGCTGGAGGGGAACAACAGGCCCCTCAAACCGTCTCTGCATGCCTGCGTGAGCGAGTGTGTGAGTCGAAACCGCAGAGACGGAACGGATTAATTGAGAGCGTTGACACGAGCAATTCCACCATCTCTCGAACTGTCGGCTCGTTTGCTAACTTTGGCTCAAGGCTCAGAAATTGGGTGTAGATAGTCATCCTAGTTGTCGTCTTCGGCAGTGAAAGCAAGCACGAGCAGCTAGGATTTGGAGGCGGGTTGCATGCAGCCGGAGCAGTTCTTTTGGAATGCCAGGCGTTGGCAGGCATTGTAACGGGCCTGGTACATCAGCAGCTGAATGGAGATGTGGGCCTGTTCAAGCAATTCTGGCCAGGAGTCTGCAATCGTGCAGCCTGCGCTTCCATTACGAGACAAGCTTCCGGGGGAAGACGCAAGTCAAAGAGCTTGTCACTGCAAGGGCATGCGTGGATGCAACGCTGCATGGCCACGCCATGGCTATGGTTGTGCCGACGTCAGAGCTCGCAGTCCTATCGCTCTTCCGGAAAGTGAGGACCCTGGATTTCACCCTCTGCCGGCACAAGTGAATTTTGCTACTCGGAGCTGGTGGGATTATTTCTGAAGTATCCAGCAACCGAAGTTCAGTTTCGGAAAGCTGCCAGCGGACTTGAAAGCACAGAGGATCCAGAGGGAAGACTCTGCTTTTCGGGCATCGCCAAGCAGTGCTTCGCCGCTGGTCGGGGCCATGCTCGCTCGCCTCGCTCTTTGGGACACTCTTCAGTGCGAGACATCGTGCGCATCGACGCCGGGACATTTGGCTGTGTGTTCCTGCTCCTTTTTGGAGCTACGACGCTGCGCATCGCAGCGTTCGGCCAACTCCGGAGTGCTCCTGCATCCGTCGCTTCGTGTGGATTTGCACCCCTGACGGCTTTAATGATGTCGCCATAGCAGAACACGATCTCGAAGCTGAAGATGCTCGAAACTTTGGGCTTGCGGCGAGGTAGCTGCAGCGAGTACTGCGAGACGCGCTAGTCTTTCGGGCCCATCATGAACAGGCTGTCAGCGCACGAAACGCACACATCGTTTCCGTGAAGTTCCTTTCAGTCTAGGGCTGCAGTTCAAGCGCAGCCGCAGCCGGACCCCCCTCTGCCGAGGAAGGGGCGTAGGAGGGGATCTGCAAAAGCTCATGATTGCCTTCCTGAAAGATGCTCACAAGTGCCCAGGTGTGTAAGCTTGGGATCAAAGAACACGAACTTCGTCTTGTTTGATGCCAAGCTTACACACCCTGGGCACTTGTAAGCATCGGTCAGGAAGGCAATCATGAGCTTTTGCAGATCCCCTCCACAATCGCCGCCAGCTTCCGGCTGGAAAAAAAGTGCAGCGGCACAACAATTTTTAGATCTGAGCTGACGGCCAGCAAGCTTTCAAGGAGAGGTTCGGCAGGTATGGGGATTATGATTGTGTGCAGAGATGTGAGTGCATCATGCGGGCTGGGGCCTGCGGCGTGCCTTTGGCACGAAGTAGTGTAGCACGTTTACCCAAAGAGCCTCCAAGAGTTCATTATTGCCCATGGGACAGCTGCGCATTCCTAGTGTGAGACACCTGTGTACGCGGCCAGGGACAAGCACCTCAATTGGGTACTTTCAGTTGTTCGACCCTTCTCCCTGACGCAGTTTGGATCTCGTGTTGTGCCACTGAGCTGCAGTGCAGTTGCCACCTTATTCTGTTGATGATGAATCTGTGGGCATCAGCGTGCGCCATCGGAAAGCCAAGGCAAAAAGCTATAGCGACTGCATCAGTGCAGGAGCGGGAAAAGTTCGCCCAGGAGAACGGCGCGCGCATGCTTCGGGTTGAGACATAAGAGGTTTTTAAGTAGCAGCCTTTTTTGGAGATATCTCTGAAGCTGCGCAGATGCTGCGCATAACACTGCGGTGGTCGGGCCTAAAACCCGAAGTCCAGGGTCGAAGACCCACCCACAACCAACTAACCAACACAGACCCGACCCGACCCCCCCCAAGATGCGTTAAAGTCAAAAGCGCAGCAGCAGTTGAGTTTCGCAGTCGGGTTGCGCGACCCCTCCTTCCAAACCCCCGTAAAGTGTACTGAGCAGCAAGCATAAGCCATTGCAGTACTCGCCTTAGCCTTGGTTCGGTAGCGGACTTCAGACGGTACGACGAACGGACACTAAGCAGAAAACATCAGGCCGCAAACCGGGGGGGAAGGCCCGCGCGGGTAAAGGCTGGCAGATACATGAGCATCTTTCAGTAATACCCTGCCTCGTCCTACAGTCTGTATACCGTCCTTAGCAGCCGGAGCACGCGAAACCTCGCCAGGCTTGTCCCAGTTGTGAGTGCTGAAATGATGCAGCCGCATGTCCATTAGGCACCGTCTGCACCATTTGACAGAAGGAGCTGCTCTCGCATTCCATGGACCTCTACGTGTCTCCGCACGGCAATCACGTCCTAGCGAAGCTGATTGAAGTGTTGCCGTCCTCACGGCTGGTTTGCATTGCCGAATCCATGAAGGGACAGGCAGCCACCGTTGCAAGGCGGCCAGGGCAAGGGGCATTGGCCCGGCCAAGGGGTTCCGTGCCCAAACATTGAGGGGTCCCAAAAATGAAATGGTGTGCCCCTGACGAGGCACCAGTTCGGCAGCCGTATCCTGGAACGTTTGCTGGAGCATTGCAGCGAGCAGCAGATAGGCTTCCTCCAAAACGAGCTCTTGGATGATCTGGAAGCTCTGGCGCGCCACGCGTTCGCAAATTTTGTGGTACAGCATCTCTTTGAGCACGGGACGCCGGAGCGCAAGACCCTCTGCCTGCAGAAGCTGCTCCCCCATGTCCTGCAGCATGCCACCCATAAGACAGCCAGCAATGTGGTCCAGCGCATGCTCGAACATGCCGACGTCAGCAGCCAGGCTCTCATAGCAGATGCCTTCCTAGCCGGGGAGGGAGAGGCCTCACTGGAAACCATCGCTGCTACGCGGTATGGTAGCTTCGTCATACACTCTCTAGTGGACAAGCTCCACCCACGAATCGATGCGGTCAAGGATCGAGTGAAGGCAGCTCATCCTCAACTCCAGGACCTTTGCATTGCTGTCAGTGGCTTTTGACGTGCATCCCCAGCTTTGCCCACTTTGATCATCTTAAGTCGGCCCATTCCCACGTTGCAGGAGTCCAAGTTCAGCCAGAAGAACATTTTGGATTTCCTCGGCGAAGCTTTCTTCCGGGAGTGAGCCATCGCTTTCCTAGAAATTTGCGAGGCTCCTCGACACCAGAATTCAGTAGAAACGTCAAGTTGAGACTGCACCTGTGAAGACTTTCACATCAACGTGCATTTAAGTTGTCAACGGGACTCTTCGTAGGAAAGATGTGTAAAAGCTGCAGTCTTGGCGGAATGACAAAACGCCAGACAGACTCAGACAGACATAATCAGACATGCCGGCCCTCAGGCGAGTCAGGGCCTAGCGATGCTGAGCTGGGGTTATTCTAGCCCAAGCTCCAATGCCTCGAGAGGTGCTGCGTGAGTGTGTACAGTGCTATCGGTGTTCTGGCCTTGAGAACACCGGTCTTCACCCATGACGGCGCCCATTCGGGTGATTCCTCTTTCAATCGGGTTCAACAGCAAAGTTAGAACTGAGCCCTGCAGAAGCAGAGCCACAGCCCCATGACACCAGATGCGCTGAAGAATGCCTCGCCGTTGTTGGAAGCGGAAGAGGCTTTTGAGGGGCGAGTTTTGGTGTCGGTTCGGCGACACTTCGTGATGGAACGTTGTTGGGATGACACGATCGTTTAGCTTGCTGAGCCATGGGTTGTCTCGAAGGCTGCACAGAAACGTGAAGATACTACACGAACCTGCAGGATTAGTCCTGTGTGATCCACGCCGGCCGACAGTGAGACCTGACATTTCGACTTCCGAACTGAGGAAAAGTGGGACTTTAAACGTAGATAACCACCTTAGCGCAAGTAGCTGGAGCTTTGGGACTTGACCGGTGGGTGTCCCGTGGCGCCTGCGCCTTCTTTTCCGTCCATTCAATAGCATGGCCAGTGGGGGCCGCTTGAGATTGTTCTACCAGAGTTTCTTGTGCTGTGGACTGACAGTTGGCTCAAGTCCAAAGTACAACATGAAGAGGTAACAAACTTGGTACCTACAAGTTCCGCGAGATGATGCCAGCTCTTTCCAGGTTATCTTGACTGAACTGTATTTGCAGAGTTAGCGTTCTCGTCTGTGTGCCTGCGTGGAGGGGTGCTGTAGGGTCATGGAGGCATTTTCGGGCAGCTGTGCGCAAGGCGCCTTGGTCCCTTAGAATGTCTCTGGGTGGCAATGCCTTCCTTCCCCGTGCCGACCAACTGGTTCGAGATAACCAGCTGGTCCAGGAGCACATTCGCAAGAAGTTGCAAAAGCAGGATTTCGAGCAGAGTGTCAAGGCCCAGCTGCAAACGAAGCACTCCCATCGACGGCAAAAGATCCTCGTGGTCGCCAATCGTCTCCCCACGAAGCCCAAGAGGGATAGTGAAGGCAACTGGACCTTCGAGCGCTGTTCTGGTGGTTTGGTTTCATGCTTAGCTGGGATCCAGGCAAAGTTCGACATGGTCTGGCTGGGCTGGCCAGGTGCAGATTTCATTGAGAATGAGAAGGAGGTTATCGCCAACGAGGCGATGAAGCAGGGCTGCTATCCTGTGTTCTTAAAGCAGAACTTGATTGATGAGTTGCTCGACTGCAGCAGGAAATCAAGCAAGGTTGATGCTCGGGCTTGTGCGGCTGTCTTGTGGTGGCTAAGGTACTACAACGGCTTTGCAAACAACGTTCTCTGGCCTCTTTTCCACTACATCATGCCCCCTTTTGACAAAGGGGTCAACGAATGCAGCACCGGTCAATGGGAAGCATACCGAAAAGCAAATGAGCTCTTCACAGAGGCTATTCTCTCGGTGTATGAAGATGATGACTACGTCTGGATTCATGACTACCATTTAATGCTCGTTCCAAAATTCTTGCGAGAAGCCAAGCCAGACTGCAACATTGGATGGTTTCTTCACACTCCCTTTCCTTCTGCTGAGATCTATCGCACACTGCCTTGGCGGCAAGAGATTATTGAAAGCCTGCTGCATGCAAACCTACTGGGCTTTCACGTTTACGACTATCTACGCCACTTTCTCAGCTCTTGCGTTCAGTTAACGTCCTTGGAAATTTCTGCGCACAGTGTGGATGCGACTACAATTGGCGGATGCATTGTTACATGTGCAACTGTGCCCATTGGAATCTCCCCTGAAGAATTCCTTTCGGGAATGCGTAAACAAGAAGTGCAACAACGAATCGAGCATCTGCATGAGCAGTACGCAGGCAGGAAAGTCATTCTAGGCATCGACCGACTGGACTACATGAAAGGAATTCCTCACAAGCTCATGGCCTTTGGCTGCTTTCTCGAAAACCACCCGGACTGGGCGGACAAGTGTGTCCTGGTGCAGCTGGCTGTACCTTCGCGTCGTGATGTGCCCGAGTATCAGCGCTTGCAGCGACAGGTCCACGAGCTTGTTGGCCAGATCTCTGGCAAACACTCCACGATTGCCACGGGTGTTCCAGTCATTTACATGGACTCGTCCATGTCTCAAGAGGACTTGAGTGCCCTGTACAACGTCGCCGATGTGGCTCTTATTACATCCCTAAGGGATGGTATGAACTTGGTTTCATACGAATACATCGCGTGTCAACACGGGAAGCAATCACCAGGAGTTTTGATTCTGTCTGAGTTTGCGGGTGCGGCGCAATCCCTCGGTGCGGGCTCGATCCGCGTGAACCCGTGGCACCTACAGGAAACTGCCAACGCCATCTACGAGGCCTTGACCATGGCGCCGGAAGAACGGCAGGCTTTGCATGACTACGCCTTCAAGCGCTTCGAACATACACCTATGATATTTTCAGAGTGGAGCCAAAGAGTAGTGTCCTAGGAGGTCGTAGTAGCATGATGCAGCCACACATGTGATCCACGACCAGGTATGTCACAGAGCATACGGCCCAGAAGTGGGCCGAGACTTTCCTGCAGTGCTTGCAAGAAGCGTGCTCTGATCTTATGGAAGTCACATCGCAGGTGCCTCCGTCGGGGCCCCATTGCTCTCTTGCAATACCAGTGTCTTTAAAACATGCCTTGCCGCAGTCGACTCAGATAAACTGCTCTGAGAGTCTGAGGCTCCTACCGTATGAAGAGCTGCTGTCGGACTGGTCCGAGTCCGTCCAGCGGGTGCTTGGAAGCAAGTAGGGTTCCGATCGCATGAAACATTGCATAAAGCTGCGTCGAAATGAAACCAGAAGTCGGAGTCCTCAGAAGCCAAGCCACACAGGCGCGAGGACGTGATGCCTCATGCGTACGTCTACTCTCCTCCTTTGTGACCCTCCACCAGGTGGTGGTCATTGACCTCATGGAATGCTTGGCGCCTGCGCGTCGCTGAGATTCAATGGTCATATAACAAAGTTGCTGTAGGACGCCGTAATTTGTTGAGTCCTATCTTTCGGGGGTTTTGCGTCACGACTTGGCCACCAGGTCTTTCGACAAAGGTTCCTCAGGGCTGGGAGGAAGCATGTGTGATTGAAGCGTGTCACTAAAGAAGACTGTTCGTTCCTTAAGGCCCTAAGGCTAAGGTTGTTGGGCAGCAATCATAGGTACCCCAAGAAGAGACCCGGTTGCGAGCATCTTCTGGGGGCTTTCATTCGCTCTGTCGCTCGTGGCAGCAGAAGATTGTCAAGTGCACAGAACACGACGTTTGATTGGTTGAAATCCCTCTGAGGTGAGCGGATGGGCATGCACGCAAGGGGTCGGCCGAAGTTCATCAGACTTCCGACAGAGCTTTGGCAGTGCTTGAAGACAATAGCCGTTAGCCCAGGGACATCTGTCATAATCACATCAGACAGGGATCGGAAGACCCTTGCTGCCTTAGTTGGCAGCCTGCCCGTCTATGTGGCACCGGAAGGGTGCTGCGTGATGCGTCGGCCGAACGAGGAGGAATGGATCCACCTGGTAGACGATGGCGATGTAGAGGGCCGCGAGGAGTGGATGGACGGCGTGCGAGCTGTGTTCAACTACTTCACGGAGCGGACGCCGGGATCATACATCGAGAAGCAGGAATACATGTATCGCTGGTCCTGGGACCACGCCCAGTTCGACTTTGGCTCGGCACAAGCCCGTGAGGTCCTAATCCATCTCTGGGCGGGCCCCCTGGTCAACAGCGAAGCTGAAGTTGTTGTTGGCGATCGTACAATCACCGTGCGCCCGCATGCGTGCTCTCGCAGCGCATGCTTGGAGAAGCTGCTGACGACTGAGCTGGGGGCCTTGCAGAATGTTGACTTTGCGCTCTGTTTTGCCGTTGTTTCGCATCGCGACGAAGATGTGTTTGACACGGTGGAGGGCTTCTTTGAGGAGTCCACTGCCTCTGAGTATGCATATGCCAGTGCAGGTGAGGGTGAAGCAAGCGGGCTGGCCACAGGCTTGATGAGCTTGTGCTCTTCGCCCAGGTCGTCTGCCGGCATGGAGCGCAGTGAGTCTGTTCTTCACACCCCTACCGGTCCTGCTCCGGAGGTGCATCCGGGAGAACTGCCACCGCCCTATGACTGGATACCTACAGCCCAAAGGGAGCGGGAGGATGCAAAGCTGCAAGAAGCTGAGCTCGAGGCATGCCGTGCAAGCGCAGACGGCGCAGACGCGGAGCCAGAGGATGCATCGGCCGCAGAGCACACGCCAAGCTCAACAGACTTCGAGTTGCGGCAAAGCTTTGCCCCTTGCTACACTATGTCCCTAGGCATGAAGAAGACCAAGGCGCAGTATGCCTTGCCCCACCCCTACCATGTACAGAACCTCATCCGTGCCATGGCAGCCAGACTTCCGCAAGCCTGATTCGCCCCCGGTAGCACTGGAAACAGCAGGCAACGTAATGTTGCTCATGGGGGAGCGCTCCCCATCGCTGAGACCGGCGTGCCAAAAATGAAGCCCTTTCCGCTGTGCCGTGCCGCGCTTGCTCGGCACCGTCTTCTCATCCGACCGCCCGCATCCCAGGGCGAAGGTGAAGTCCGACGCGTGGCTGGCCAAAAAGGAAGCGGAGGCTGAAGAAGCGGAGGCGGCGCGGATAAAAGCCCTGAAGGCCCAGGACAGCCAACCTTGCACTGAACATGGCAAACGACTACCGTGGACAAACGAAATGAAAGCCGCCATCTGTCATCCGGCAAGGAGTGGGATGACATTCCCGACGGGAAGCCTGGAGGGGATGCCGACGGTTTCAGCCCGGAGTGCACGACTCAGTTTCCCTGCCTTAGTCTGAATTTTAAGAAGCTTTGCGGCTGGGAGGCTCGAGCCTCTCGATGCCCTTGAAGAGGAGGCGTGGGCGGCAACCATGTCTCGGCCACTGCTCGAAGCTCCACTTCTTCTGGCTTTTGGAAGAAATCGTTGCCGAAACGCTAAAACAAGGACACTCAGACAACCGAGCCCCGCGTTTCCTGTATATTGTGCCCGATGTGTCCGTGGTATTCATGTGTAGCTGTCTGCCTGCCTGTCTGCCTGCCTGCCTGCCTGCCTGTCTGTCTGTCGGTTCATACGTATGCATGTATGCATGCATGCATGTATGTATGTGCAAAAATTGTCTGTGCGTTACGTATGTATGCATGTATGTATGTCTATGTATGTAGGAGCTGTGATGCGTGCATGCATGCATGCTCTGGTGTTTGTGTATGAGCGGCCAATGTACCGCCAGGACCTTGGATTTACGAACCGCAAAAAGCATGTACTGAAGACGTCATGTCCGTCTTTCTTTCTGACCAAGTGGCTCTGAGATGGCTTTCATTTCACAAGACAAAAACTGTCAAGCTGTGTGTCCGGCGTTGGAAGTCAGGGATTTCGGATGCGGGCGGCATTAGTTTGGCTTTGGAAATCGTGGCCGACATGATGAGCTCGGAGATCACAGCAGTAACGTGCTTGACGCTTCCTGACCCCATTGAAGTCGATCCTCAGGCTGACGCAGGCGCTTACAGCCCCGTCCTCGAGCCCCTCAGCCCGGAACCTGGCAGCTACGTAGCTACGTAGCATGGACTTGTGGGTGGTTAGAAGATTGCACGGCGCATGGAGCATCATGGAGCTTTCAGCTGTCGCTTCCAGCTCCACGGTGAATCAGAGATAATCAGAGAGGGCTTTGAAGCTGCTGAAACAAGCTACGACGTGCTTGCGAGGCAAGTACGACGCAGCCGACCTGTTGGACCCAGATGAGGATTCTGACTTGGCGTCTCGTTGGCTTGGAGCACTTTGACTCGCATACGAGCACTGCAGGACATGCAGGTGCTGCGTCAGGCCAGATCTTTGCAAAAGCCTGGTGGTGGCTTCGTAGCTCCTCGGCTCCGAGCCTGCCGCAGGTCCGCAAAACCATCATCGAAGCTTTCGGCGACGGGCTCGCTTCTGTTCCATGCTCTGTAGAATCTCATGACAAGACCACTTGTTGTCGAGGTGGTACAGTGGGCGGAGCATCATCTTCAGCAGATGCCGGCCTTGACCGGTCACGTGAAGAGCTCAGAACCGTCCTTTGGTTTCCTCAAAAGGCATTCACGGGCTTCCTTACGCATTTTTGCTTGACATGTCGCCACCGGAGGAGATGACGAGCTCTTCAATGCCGAGCGAGCCAAAGGCATGAGCCAGGGAGAGGCGCCGAGGGCCGTGCCACATTGTCAACCGAGCAGCTGTGACTCTGCATTCCTCGCACCTTCGGCTTGCCCAAGCAGGCGGCCTTCAATGCCATGGGGAAAGGGGATGACAGCGAGTACCACGGAGAGGCATGTTGGGTCTGCAAGCATTGTCCCAACAGAGGTTGCAGCAAACATCCTTCCGAGGCATCAGGATCTGTATGGAGTCTTTAAGAATTATGCCAAGTTCGATTTGTACGGTCTGCTTCTGCTTGGCTTTGCAGTGCTGGCAGAGGCAATTGGTCGCCATATCGATGGTTCGATGGAGTCAGCGATGTAGAACTACTTATCGAGTTAGTGGTTCCTTCGTGTTGAAGTCTTCTTTCCTTCGTGGGCCTCGTGCCGCCAAGCCTACCGTCATTCCTTGGTGAGTTGGTGACTCGGAAAGACCGGCCGTTTCAAGTCAAGGGCCCGTTTGTGATGCCAAATAGACCGAAGTAAGTGTCCCAGTTCCATCTTGTTGCAGGTACTTCTGGAAAGGAAGAGGTACGAGTGGGAGGACAAGTACAAGCCGCGAAAGCCAAGATTCTTCAACAGGGTGAAGACAGGTTTCGAGTGGAACAAGTACAACCAGACACACTACGACCACGACAATCCACCACCAAAGATTGTACAAGGACGGGAACTGCAAATCTGCACACTTTTACAACCCTTCGTACTGCAGAAGCTTGTGCGCTTAAAATGCAACATGCACCTCAACAGTCAGTTGCAGGCTACAAATTCAACATATTCTACCCAGACTTGATCGACAAGAGCAAGGCGCCAACGTACCACATTGAAAGGTCGGACACGCAAGACACGGCGACGAGCTCAGAAATGCAGCCTACGAGCTTTCCAGGCGCCAGAAGGAAGATTGGTGTCACATGCACTTCTGAGGTTATGCTCCGATTCAGTGCCGGTCCCCCTTACGAGGACGTAGCCTTCAAGATCGTAAACCGCGAGTGGAACCTCTCTCACAAGCTGCTGGGTCAAATTACGCATGTGCCCGCTTTGGATTGACATGGGTTGACTTCCTCTCTCCTGCACTTCCCTCCGTAGGTTTGGCTTCCGAGTAGTTTTCGACCGCGGAGTATTGCAGCTCTACTTCAACGTGAAGCGCTGGCGCTACAGACGCTGAACTCAGCTCCTGCACGTTGCAGTCCTGGTGGTCGTTTGCGGAGTAGCCAAGCCTCAAAGTGGGGTGGCAGTTGCAAACGTGCGTGCCTGGTCCCAAAGAAGTCTAGTGGTGACAGAGGCAGCCTTTGCTCGGCAGTAGCCCACGCAGGACCACTCAACCCAGTGTCGACCTACATACGCAGAGCCGAACGTCAGGAAGAAAGAGGGGCTTCGCAGTTTTGGACAGATGCTAGGTGGCTCGTTCTTACACTTTGTTCTTGCTTTGTTCTCAGGTCATGAACTCTTGCCTGGTGATGTGGACCCTGTCTTACATTCGCTCATGCCTGGCATTGCCTGGCATTGTGTCTTTGTGGGGAAAGGGTACGAATGGCATGTGTGTCAGAATGCAAACCTTTGGGTGAACCCGAATGAAGGGGTCTGCCGTCTGCCGTGGTCATGGCATCTGCAGCAAGGCTCGGGCAATTGCAATTGACCTCGGTGACATCCTGGTCTTTGAGGACATGGGCACTCACCAAACAAAGACAAGTCTGCTTCACAATTCGTCATGCGAACCAATCCAGTTTATGCAGATTTCTGTTCAAAGGGAAATCCTGCAGACAAACTTGCAAGGAACAGCAACTAAGGCTACTAAGGACAAGATCGCGCGTCTGTAGTCAAGAAGATTTGATGATTTCCATACCCTTGGGCACTGCCTTCGTCAATCTCTCTGCCTGTCCGTCCATGTGCCTTGACCGCGTTCTTTTTTTGCATGTATGCCTTTCTGTGTGGGTATGTGTACATGCATGCGTACATCCATAATTGCATGCAAAGATACGCATACGTGTCGACAAGCATGGGTGTTTGTACGTACGACTGGCGCACCTTTTTACGCACGTACATATGTAAGGACATGTAATGTGTGTGTGTATATGTATGTGTGTGTATATATATATATCTATATAAATTTTCGTTTGTGTGTGTGTGTGCATGTATACTAAATAAATAAGTCTCCTAATTATCGGCTGGTTAGGTCAGGAATTAGGGGATCAGTTTAGCGATCGTAAGAACTGCCCTTGATGATTTGATCCGTGGCCATTTTGGCATGAGCCGAT